CTATGCTCACAACCTTCCTGCAAGTTTGAAGCTATTTGAAAACAAAAAGTTACCTAAAAACAATAACAATAAGCACCATGACAATTTAAGATTTTCCCCCAAGGAGGCAAGAATTAGGAACTCTATCAATATAACTTGTTATTTTAAATCATGCCTGGAGGAAAAAAAAAAAAACAAGAAAGAGATAGACCTAGAAGCACTAGCTTGAAAAGGCACACCCGCTATAATAGTGGAAAAACGCAAGTTGCAGAACAGATATAGTATAATACTATTCATAACTTTGGAATAAACAGAAAACAAACAAAAAACTCTGAGTGTGTTTGTGCACATACACTTTTAAATACAATATTAAAGTTATTTTCACCTATTTATTTTTATTTTTTAATGGGGCAACTAGAAAATTTAAAATCACATACATGCCTCCCATTATATTTCTACTGTACAATGCTGATCTACACTATATAAAAAGTTCCCACAAATCAGTAAGAAAAAGACAAATAGAAAACTGAACAAAGGAAATAAGTATATCAAGAAGCACTACATTTAACCAATAAACATTCGTATACATGCATACACACTTTACCAAACTAGCTATGTGACTCTAGGCAAATCACTTTAACTTCACTGCACCTCAATTTTCCCACGAGTAATATGGAAACTCTACCTCACAGGCTTGTTATGAGGACTACTGACATAATCTTTAACACAGTGCCTGGCACATATAAATACTCAATAAATGTTACCTGCTATTAATTTTGTCAAAGAAAGACTCAAGAGACCAAAACATTTAGAAAAGAAAAAATTTCACTTGGAAAGAAATGCAAAGAAGTCCAACTTCAAAAGGACCAGCTAGATGAATAAAAGCACAAGTATTTAAAGGAAACAAATGTAAAGTTGCCAAGGTTACCAAGTTATACAGTAGTCTGTTCGTGATTAAAAAACTTAACAAAGCAAAACAGGATCTTTCTCAAGAGATTACAATATCCACAAAGGAGGTGACCTATGTTTGGGCACCGACATTGCACAAGGCAGAGATGAAGCTGTCTTTGCCAAGATTGATGGGAAATACTCAAGGTTTTAATGTTGGAGGGATGTGGGCTCAACAGACTGACTCTGTATTCTTGGGTTATCTCAGGGTGCAAATTGCTGTTTCTTTATCTTGACTGAGATACATGATGTGCTTAGCCATAATGGAAGCAAGAAAGTGTCAGTTTTCCTTTCATATTATTCCTGGCGGCGGGGGGAATCTAGAAGCAAATGTACCAAACTGCGAACAATGGTTATCTCTTGGAAATAAGATGAGAAGAGCTCACTATTTACTGGATGCTTGTGTAGCATTCGAATGCTTTACGTGTTCACAAATTACATCTGTAACATGTAAAAGAACTAATAAGATCATACAAATGTTAAATATCTCAGCCATCCCGTTTCTTTCTAGTTCTCGCACAGCAGATAGGATAGTTTGCTTTCTAAGCTCTTCAGAAAAAGATTTATAAGCCGTGCATTTTCTCTACAACCCATTTCCACCACTTCAGTCTATAGCATCTGCCAGGAGATCCTTAGCACGCAATTCCAATTGGGAAGGGAAAAGAATGACAGCCAATGAACGGGGGAGGGGAGCATTAATTCCTTCTTGCTTCTTTGTTAGTTCTCCACCCCAAACCCTGAGATTCCTCAACCAGTGAAGTCCTTCAGAGTGAAATCTGGGAGTTCTAAAGTCCCCCACCCTCATCTCTCCATATCCTTACATTTCCCCAGCAGATTTGCCCCTGGGCAGCCCCTTCTTTAAGGACCACAGGAGGAAATGGATTCATAAGAGAACTCATGGGGGGAGGAGAGTCCACCGTGGATACTGAAAGAGGCTTTCAGCTGCGTTTCAAGCCAACCATGGCCTCATTCCTGGACGACTCAGCATCTCCTTTAGGAGCCCCAGCGAGAGGGTGGTTTGCAGAGAGAAGGGTCACATACAAGATGCCAGACTGGCGGCAGGTGAAGAAGGGTGAGCAAGACTCACTGATGGCTTGCACCCAAATCCCTCTCGGCCAGGTCACCAGTGTGGCTCTGCTAACCTGCAGTAAACAAGCAGCTCAAGAAGCCCCCCCTCACCTGTGCTCATGGCACAGATAGAGACGTACCCCTCGGTATGGCACAGACTTACTATTCTTCCCACTTGAGAACATGAAACTGGTTTTTTCATCCAAACAGCCAGGAGTTGACAATATTTGGGGGCGGGAGGGGTCTCGTTATTTTTCCTCTGGTTACAGCAACACGAGTGCACTGCCATGACAAAGTGCATCTCAGAACTGCATTTTCCAAAGCAGCACAATAGGATAATGATCACTTTAGGAGCATCTGAGTTTACATAATTTTAAACTGGATTGTGAAAAATATAAGAATTAAAAAAGATATAAGCTGGACTGTGAGCTCAGAATTTGGGGGTCTACGTAGTGACTGATCATGAAGACTCTAAAACAAACTTGGGTCCTCAATGATGCTGCTCCAGCGAGGGGCAGAGCCTGATCATCTATGATTCTGATAAGTAGCCCAGATGAGTCTTCTGCACCCCAAAGACCTCAGTGTTGGAGGAAGAACAGACAGATGGTGGCAATTCACAATAAAAGCTAACATTTATGGCGCATATGCTGTGTGCTGGGGCCATGCTAACCACTTTGCATGCATTAACTCGTTGGCTCCTCCACTGGAAGGAGGTGCTATTACTATTGCCCCCAGTTTACAGATAAGGACACCAATGCTCAGAAAGCTTGATAACTTGCTCTCATTCTCATAGCGGCTAACACATGGAATTTGAACTCAGCTCTCTGAGCTTAGAGCCCATGCTCTGTTACGCACTTCCTCGGAAGTGCACCTTGACTGGGCAGGGCATTATAGGTAGCTGTCTAGACCTAAGGTTTTCAATCCTAAGAAGCTTAGAAAAAAAAATACCATGGCAACCACCCAAGTGTCCCTCGACGGATGAATGCATAAACCAACTGTGATATTACACATACAGTGGAATATTATTCAGCCTTAAAAAGGAAGGAGATCCTGCCCCATGCCACAACAGTGATGAAACTTGAGGACACTGCTAAATGAAATAAGTGAGACACAAAAGGACAAGTATTGTATGATTCCACTTATATGAGGTACTTAGAGTGGTGCAGTCCATAAAGACAGAAAACAGAATGACAGTTGCCAGGGGCTGGGAGATGGAAAAATGGGGAGTTAGGGTTTAATGGGAAGAGAGTTTCACTTTGGGACAACAGATGGTGGGGATGGCTGAACAGCAATGAGTGCCACTTAATGTCATTGAACTAGTCACTTAAAAATAGTAAAAATCGTAAATTTTATGTATATTTTACCACAGTTTTTTTTTTTTTAGAAAACTGGTATCTGGTCCCCACACCAGTTAAATCAGAATCTCTCCAGGACAACTATCTGTATTGAAAACAAACAAACAAACACTAGCCAGGTGTTTCTAATAAATACTCAGGGTTGAGCACGCACTCCAGAATTCTGGAACTCTTCCTGCTAGAAGTTCTGGACGTCACTGCAGGTCTCTGCCGTCCTATTCGCACCAGACACCTGCACACAAGCCCCCTTCACTGCCAAGGCCCCCAGCTGGCTGTGAAGGTGGCCAGAACCCAAGAATTAACGGAAGGTTCTGGAAGTGGAAAGCTCAGTGGTATACTGGGCGTTTCCCTGGCTTGTAATTGTCTGCATGTGCTTAATCCCCCTTAATAGTCCAGGAAGAGGAGCAATTATTACCGACATGCTGTGATTTCAGGATCAAGAACAGAGGTTCCCACTGAAATCTAAAATTCACCCGCACCGATCAACCTCTGTCCATAACTCATGAATACGTATTTCCAGTCTTCTTTCGGCAGCAGCAGAACTTTGGGGGGAGCCTCAGCAATGGGAGTTATGATAAAGAGGGCTTATTATAAGATTGTTCAGCCATCCGGGCCATCTGCTCAGCAGCAAACATTCTCTGAGCACCTCCACTTTGCCCCCAAACTCACATCCTGTAGGGAAATGGATATATTCATTCACCCACTGAGCCAATACCTATTTCTTGAGTTCCTCCAATGTACCAGACACTGCTCAAAGTACAAGCAACAAAGGCAATATTTAAAATATTCAACAAGTATTCAAATATTCAACAAAATATTCAATCAGGAAGGATGTTCTGCTGGGCCAAGTGGTAACACTTAAGTAGCTGGATCATGGGGAAGTCTGCAGGGATTCAGAGGTGGGGTGGCCAGGATGGCTGGGATATTGACGGGGGGGGGGGGCGCTGCTCTTCACCAGCTAGTACAGAAGTAGACCGGTGTTTTCCCAGCTGGGAAAGCCATATAGAGTAGGTACCCCTTGAATGACAGCTTGGTTCGGGGATAGAGGGTAAACAGTTCAGCCAAGGTCCCTGACCTTGTGGATTGAACATCTAGTGCAGGAGAGGTGAACTTCTTCTGTAATGGACCAGGCCTTGAGGGCCCTATGGCCTCTGATCTAGCTACACAACTCTGTTGTAGCATAAAAGCAGCCACAGACAATCGTAAACAGCTGAGTGTGGCTGTGTTCCAAACCAAGTTCATTTATAAAAACAGCAGGCTGGATTTGGCCCATGGACCAGGGTTTGCAAAGCCCATTCTGCTGGATGAGACGTGCATACCTGTTCATTATACAAATATTTGTCAAGCATCTTCTGCATGACAAACATGGCACTGGGTACTGGTATACCTCACGGAACAAAAGATAAACGGTCCCCCGTAGCACTTACACTCTAATGGGAGAGGCCAAAGCAAACCTTTTAATGTGCTAGGGTAAATACTAAGACGAAGGTAATCGGGAAACCCAGAAGGGGAAGGAAGTTAGCCCCGGAGTCCAGGGAAGGCTTCCTGGAGGAGGTGGTAACAATGTTGCCTGCTCAGATCAGCCTGAGGAGTGCATGTCTTTCCCTGTGGGTTCTCTGTCCTCACCAGCTCCTCCTTTGTGTCCCCCAGTCTCTGAACAGCTACAACGACGGAGACATCGAAGGATCCAAGCGGCTCGGGAGGAATGCCAAGTGGGTGGCCATCGCCTCCATCATTATTGGCCTTCTCATCATCGGTATTTCTTGTGCAGTTCACTTCACAAGGAAGTAAGTAGGCTTTTTGAATCCCTCCCGATGTAGAATGCCTTCTCCCGAATGCCCATCGCAATCTGTGAGGACAGGTTAGGTTATGTTCCAGGAGCAAACAATCCCAAACCAAAGAGTTTTCATTTTTACGTCACTGCGGGTACACAAGCCATGGTGCTTTGTGGAGGGTCTCTCTTCTCCCCAGTCACTCGAGGCCCAGGCTATCCGAAGCCCCGCTGTCCTCTAGCTGCTCTGTCTAGAACAGGGATCAACAAACTTTTTCTACAAAGGGCCAAACAGTAAATATCGTCGGTCTCCATCACCATCTCATGTGACCACTTAACTCTGCCATTTTAGCACAAAAGTGGCCATATACAATATGCAAGCAAATGAATGAGTATGGCTGTGTTCGATAGACCTTTATTTACAAAAACAGGTACCTGGCCCAGGGGACATAGTTTTCCAATCTCTGAAAGAGGAGAGAGGACCGGAGAACCCCACATGGATTTGCACTGCCTCAGTCCTGGAGTAACAAATGTCCCTTAGGCTCACAGTTTATTAGCTAGAACCAGTCACACAGTATCACCTCTTTGTTAGACAGAGGGAAACGTGGGGGAATCAATGGGATATTAGGGTTATTGCTTGCTCGGCCTTACCATCTGATCTGCTAAATGATTTCATGATTTTGACTCAACTGGCCTACCTGTTCTTAGCGTAAGGGCAGAAGGGCGACCATATATTTTTGGTATTGCCAACGTGCTCTCATCCCATAAAGAGATGGCTGCTGTTGCTATTTCTCTCTGGATTTGGACAAATTTATCCTGATTTCTCGAGCCAGCTGAGATGGGCTAAATCTGCTAGAAGCACTGACACTTCCCATCGGAGGCCTGACAAAGGGCAAGGTTGTGTGATGGATGACCAAGGCCCGGAAATGACAAGCCCAGATCCATCGCAGTCTATGTCATTCCTGGCAAGGCAGATAAGGATTCTGAGACATCCTTTAGCTCTTCTGCCAGAGCAGCTCAGTGAGCCGTACACAATTTCCCTCAAGCTGAGAAGGTCAGCCCCTTCGGCTTGGTCTCAGGAAAGGCTCACCTGGTGGGCGAGAGACGGAGGGGACATCCTGAGCCTGCCAGATCGGCCAAGCCAACCTGGGCAGCCGAGAGGGTAGTAAATTGTCACAGGAGGTCAACTTCCTATCAGACAAGCCAGACCCAGGAGCAATCGGGGCAGCTGGATGGAGGGGCAGATGCAAAGACAGAAAGTGTCGCAAAGTTAAAAATAGATGGCTTTGACCACGGAGAGGAGAAAAGGACACGAGAACATCAAAGGAAGCTCAAGGTGTCTTGCCTACAAGACGGAAAATGGACGATGTTGGCCTATGAAGAAGACGGTGAGAAAACAGATATGAACACACCCAACTTTATTCTTTAAGGAAGGCATCGTGTGCTTCCATGTGAGCATGGGGCTGTGGAGTGTGAAGTTAAAGGTATTACAGGTATTGTAATGCAGGTTTGGCACCAGGTTTCCCGGGCACAGCTTCCCCCTCTGCCACTTACTGACCATGAGACTCTCAGCCAAGTGCTAAACCTCAGTTTCTTCATCTGTAAAATGGGGATTATAGCAATACCCATTGAATAAAGCTATTGTGAAGGTTAATTAGATGACCTGCATATATAGCATGGTGTCTGCTCCTTCGTTGGTACACAAAAAATGCAAACCATTTACTAACCCTATTATTACTACTGTTATCAGTTATCAACCCGGCTGGGAGAGGACCTCAGAATTTAAGATACTACCAAATAGAGTTCAAGGCTTTGTGCTTATGAGCTAAGTTCAAAGGACAGTGTTCCAGGGGAATGAGGCGAAGTCTTGGCCTGACTCCTGGGAACCTGTGAAAATACATACTGCCCAGATCAGTGTTGAACTCAGTTATAATAATAGCAGCTGACACTAACATAGAACTTGGCATAGGCCAGCGACTGTCTAAGCTCTTACGTGAATTAATCCCCACTGAATCCCCACAGCAACCCCATGAGGTAGGTATTATTATGTTCACTTTGCAGATAAGGAAACTGAAATAACTTGCCTGATGTCTCACAGGTAGTTAGCAATCATGGCAGGGTTTAACTTGGGATAATCTGGCTCTGAGAGCTGGTAAGCTGTGTTCTTCACCACAATGCCACACTGCCTCTAAGCCAATAACCAGTATACTCCATAACAAAAACCAGTGGATAGCACTCGCCTTGTGGCTACCTCCAGAACTGATTTATATGGGGGTGGTATGGGGAGGTTTCAATCTGCAAAAAAAAAAAAAAAAATGTGTGATGAGACAGCACCAAGGGTAACAAAAATCAAAACACTGCAGGAGGTACGCAAGGAATGTGCATGAATGGGGTAGCCTGGTTATAGTACTATAGGGATGTTCCAGAGCACAGTCCAGCTGATTGTGACCACTTAGAATGCAGACCCCATGGAGCCCATTTTTCAAAAGACATTGGAAAGCTAGGTTTTCATCTCAAATCTCCTAGTTTGTAGACGTTGGCAACCAATTCACAGTATTTAAGCACATGGTGAGGGTCAAAAACGGAAAAAACATACAAAAACCGCATCTCCAGACTGGACACTATCTACTTTGCAGTCTCTGATGGGCAATTTGGCTTTCAGAGATCAGTGTGCCCATTAGACACCATCCAAGAAGTTTTACAAGGGACCCAGAAGTCTTCATATGTGGGGACTTTCTCCATTCTTATTATCAATGTTTCTATCTGGAGACAAAGCATCGATGTGGATATGCCTGGGATTGATGTTTTGTTAGCAGTTATAAATGATCCGAGAGGGAGTCATCCCCTCCAACCCTTCTTCCTAAAAAGCAGTGATTCACGGTGGTTAGAACCTAAACTTCAACTCTGGTTTCATCAGAATTCAAATCCTAGTTCCACCACGCAGACCACCCTGGCAAGTTACAAAACTCTCTCAGCCAGTTTCCCTATCTGTAAAGTGAGGCTAGAATTACTTCCCCACCTGTATGGTCAGGTTCCTTTTAGATACATTTCCCTTCCATGTTATCAAAGAAAACAAAAAATATTTTCCAGAGTTAGAATCCTATGGAGAAACTTAAAGGCTTTGTTGTGTGTGTGTGTGTGTGTGTGTGTGTGTGTGTGTGTGTGTGTGTAAGAGAGAGTAAGAAACTAGCCCTTAGAGAATGAAATCAATTCTATCTTAAGACCAATAACAGGTCAATTTCTCAGTAATCCTTTGAAATAAAATTTCTCAGCCCTGGGAGGAACTGAGCAGCAATGTAGAATTACTAAGGCAGAGTTCCCTAACTTTGAGCTGCATGCGAGTTGCCTGGGGAGGTTTAAAAGAAGGTGACATCGTGGCCTCATCTCAAAGCATTCTAAGTCATTAAATCAGAAGTGAGACCCAAGAATCTGCATTTTCCAGCTCCCCGTTCCCACCCTGGGGTTTGGATGCAGGTGGTCCCTACAATACTCTTTGCCTAACATCCTCCTTCCCAAACCCAAAAGGAAGAACGCACTAACAGAAACTAGCCTTTAACAGAGTGGCCAGTCTTCATTTCCATCAGCAAACTCTTCGCCAGGAATGTGTTATGTCTCACTTGTTGCCAAGGAGGTGAGTCAAGTTACCACCAAGGAGCCTACCCACCCACGGGGAGGCTCTTTTGCAACAAACCTCAAAGCAGTCAGGGTTTCTACTGAGAGGGCCTGGAGAAGCCTAACGTTAGAGAAGTCCATTCTGGACAGGAGACAAAAAGCCTTGAATAGGTGACTTTTCTGAATTTCATTCAAAAAACTGTTTGAAGTAAATGACTGCCTTTTTAAAACTATGAGGTCCTGCCTTTAAAAAAAAAAAAATGTATTCTTTATCCTTATCAGCAACACTGTAACTAATCCCCAAGTCCCGGCCTTTTAAAAAAATTACTCTGTGGGGCGCCTGGGTGGCTCAGTCCTTAAGCGTATGCCTTCGGCTCAGGTCATGATCCCAGCGTCTTGGGTTCGAGCCCCGCATCGGGCTCCCTCTCCGCGGGAAGCCTGCTTCTCCCTCTCCCACTCCTCCTGCTTGTGTTCCCTCTCTCGCTGTGTCTCTCCCTGTCAAATAAATAAAATCTTAAAAAAAAAAAAAAAGAAAAAAAATTACTCTGTATCCTTATCAAGAGCACGGTAACCCATCTCTGCTCCCCCAGATGGAAATTCCAGGTGGACAGACTGGGGTCATGAGAGTCTTTATCCAAAGTCAGAAAAAGGTCTCATTCATCCTAATTTCACAGGGTATCTCTGCAAAAGCCATGTGGCAGTTGGAGCAAAGAAAAAGTTTTATGACATCAAATCCACAAAGACTGGAAATCACTGACCCTAAAACATTCAACAACTTGGAATGGAAGGTGGTGCTCTCAGAAGAGAAGTATTCTGGTGCCAGTGGAATCAGAGACTTGCAGGCTCTCCAAGCCAGAAAATTCCCGGCTCTCCAGCTCCTAGGGAAAGTGGAAAAATGAATCGCACAGAGCCCAGACATTTAAATATTGCTGCAGTCTCTTTATTGATTGAATCATTCATGTCCCCAGCCTAAAGCAACCTGTCTGCAGGCTTTTATTTTCTGCTGGTGCCTTGAGGATTCGAGCAAAGCGAGGTTATTCTCAAAGTTTCGGAGCCACCTATGACAGATTCAGCTGGGATGTTTGTGAAAATGCAGATTCCTGGCCTCCAATCAAGACCCTGAGTGGCCCTGAAATATGCATTATCACAAGCAACTCCCCGCTCCCCAAAATATTTCTAGGTATTCTGAAGTTGGAGAACCACTGTTGTAGGGCTTTGCATTTAACAGAGAACCTTCTTGCCTGTGTGAACATAAGCCACAAAACAGGACTTTTTTACATCCCTAAGATGCCTGGTAGAAGCTTCAGCTACTGCTGCTTCCTCCCTACTCCCTAGAGACTTTACACAGCTCCCAGGTTTGTTCTTCCCTCTCTCCTCATGATCAAGTTCACGGTCACATATCTG